ATGAGGGGAAGCAGAGGGTGTGGGGGGGGAAGCAGAGGGTGTGGGGGGCAAGCAGGAGGGCAGTAGAGGGAGGCTGCTTTGCTAGTGTGTGTTCCAGTGCCAACCACACAGAAAACCAACAGAAAAAGGACACAGACTTAAAAATGGGGAAGAAAAAAAGAAATCAACCAGATTCCAAATACCCTAACACCTAATCTTTCTATTCTGCCCCCCCCCCCTCACCGCACACACGAAACAATAGCCATTTCTGCCATTGCTCAGGCCCCAGGAAGCACTTCTCATTCCCTACAGACAGTACTTCCAGGACTGCCCTAGTGTTCACGAACGAGCGGCCCAGTCAGCAGAGCCAGGGAACCACCACGCTCAACCCCACAGACACGGAACCTCTCTGCAGGCCCAGGGAGAGATGAGTGGATGTGTTCAAGCTGGGGAAGAGGAATCACGGGAGGGCTTTCTGGAGGCGGCACTTGAGGAAGCCGTCAGGCCGTAGAGGATGAGGGGAGAGTGTGATCAGCAAGTGGAAGGCATTTCTGGGGTGGCTTTTGTGCTGACACTTATCCTCTGGGGTACTCCCTTCTCGAAGGATCTTTTGAGGATGACCCTGAAGACAAGTCTGAAGTAGAGGACTGAGAACCTCAGGAAGAAATGATTGGAGACAGAGTGGAGGCCATCCACTGCTGTCCAGGAAGCCCACCACCCAGCCTTTGGGGCAGCGCAGGGAGTAACACGGCCAGGTCAGGGCACCCTGCACTCCTGTCTCAAAGCACTGTCTGGCACCACTCAACAAACGTAAATAGCTTGGCGGAAGCCTGAGGGAAGCTGACTATCAAATTTACTAATAGTAGACCAAATGCTGTATGGGGAAATGAGGAAAGCTTAATACAAGCTGAAGGTCACCTTGTGGCACTGGGGTGTTCCCTAGGAGTCAACATTGTTCTTAGTTTGTGTCAAATAAATCCCTTCCTCTTGAGATTAGCATAAAGAGGAACTTGGCCTTATCTGTAAAAGACTTCACCATTATCCTGTTTTTGTTTTGTACCTCCTTGTGATTTTGTTTACCTTCCTTAAGATTCTAAATAAATACTCAGAGAAGCATGGCTTGGGGCCTTCAGTCATGGGAACTGTTGGCCCCCTGTTTTTCACACTCTCTGTTCTATATCATTCCTGGAAGTCTGTCTCATTATTAATAATTATAAAATCATTTCATTCTTTGGGACCCTCGGTCTGCAACAGAAGCTTACATACAGTAAGTGCAGAATAAATGTGAATAAATGCCTGCTTCAAGTATTCTCACTACTGTTTCTTCTCCTCAAAAGGCCATCCTTCACGTCTCCCTGCCTGGTCCTGAGCGAGGCCTCCTCTCCACTTTAAGCTCTGAGCACACGCTCTGGTTCTCTGCATCCAGCAGCACCCTTACAGAGCCAAGGTCAGGGCCAGGCACAAGAGCAAGAGCTAAGCTGGCAGCTTGAGTCATGATCTGCCTGGCGGACGAAGCGTCTCGTCCACTGCCTCCAACCATCCAATTGTGGTCTGGGCAGCAGGCCCAAGCTGGTGCCCAAGCTGGGACCAAGCCACCTATGCACCTTTGGCAGGGCCTGCCGAGGCACTTGCCCTGTCTGTCAGGTGCCCATCTAATCCTGCTGACCAGCTGTCCCTCCTGGCTCCTGCTGGGCTCTCATGCCTGGACACTCAGCTATGCACTTCTGACTAAGCAGGCTTCGAGACCACAGGGGAGGCGCCGGGCCCCGAGGCGGAGATACGTGCTGAGTCCTGCTCCCGCTCCACGCCTGTCCACCGGCCCACTCACTCGGCATCCAGCAGGGAGGCTTTCCAAAACCTCGCCTGCCCCTGGAAGATGCAGGGCCGCCCTGTGTGGGCTGCTGCCTTCCGGAGGGACAGCGGGCCTGACCGCCCTCGCCCGCTGGCTGCACTGGGAAAAGCAGGCAGGGCTACATTTTTCGCTTGTGACTTTGGCCTAGTTCTTCTGTCCCAGAAAGGCGCTGGGAGGCCTGCTGGTGCGTACATGGTCACAGGCTGCCGTAATTGTAGTGAAGGGGGCTGCTGGGGTCGGCGTGCTCCCTGTGGGGTCCTCCACACCCTCGGCGAGGGGCAGCTTGGTCTCTCATGCCAGGGGCATGGTTTGCCACTCCTGATCATTCTACGGTGGGTGGGGGTGAAGGTGGGCTTGAGGTCTTAGCTCTACAGGCTGAGGCTTTTTAGGGCAAGTTTGTCTTCTGTGAACCCCCAAACTTGGAGACAGCAATGGCCAGTATGAAGGGCACTGTCTGGCCATGTGCTCTTTGCCCTGTTCTATGCCCTCCCCCGGCCTCCATTTGCCCATCTGCCAAATGAGGGGTCCTGACAAGCTGGCTCTGCATCAGAATCACTGAAAGTTTACAGACAGCCACTGTCTGGGCCACTGAGTGTACAGAATCAGGTTCTCTGGGGTGGGGGTGCTGTCGGTAAGGTGCGTCTGTAACAGCAGAGGGAGCTAGAGAAAGGCCGGGTTCCAGGAATTCAAAACCTTTGGTTTTCATTCCTCAAGGAATTCCCCTTATGTGCCTTATGAGAGAGAAAGGCAAGGCTGAGAAGGCCTCAGGCAGAAGCAAGGAATCCTTGGCTTCTCTCTTGTTCCATGTTCTTCAGCCAATGACAGATGCTCCTTCACCACGTTCAAGGCCAGAGGATGCCCAGGAAGATGACCACCTTCGGACCAAGCCTTTCCGCTTTCTCAGTCGTGGCTCCAGCCAGCCTGGGCCCCTCGCGAGCTGCTGAGGTCAAGCACCATCCAGGGACCGGGCTGCTGGACACAGCCTGCAAGCCCCGGCTTGTTGTCAAGGCGGTCTCCACGCTCTTTCTGAAGAGACCACTGTGAGCCCCCGTAAGTCCTTCTGGTAGACCACCTCCGTGAACAGAGAGATGCCGTCCCTGAGCGGGGCACACTCTGACGGATGCCCTCCCCTGCAGCAGAGGGCACACACATGTCAGTAGAGGGCTCAGAGGAATCTCAGGTCTCAGTGGGTGGGGAAGAGCTTTTTCTGGAAAAATCAGCCCAGCACAATCCAAGCCACTGGTTCCTTTCTGGGCTTCAGACAACAGGCTGCCTCCTGTCTGGCCTGCTAGAAGGCCAGGCTACAGACTGCCATAAATCAGAGAGCTGACATGCTTTGTCTGGGCCCACACTTGGCCTTCAGGACATTTTTAAAGAATGGTATCAAGATTTTTAAACTGATATATTCCACATAAACATCCAGAGCTCCAGCTTTGGGTGAAAACCCCACAGAACTGGCAACCTGCACTGGAATCCCATGTGGCTGAAGGCAAGGCAGCCCCTTCCAGAGAAGATGACAATCTGCACTTGGCCTACACCTGAGACAAGGGCTTCCACCTAGAAAGAGCCAAGTGGGTCCCTAGCACAGGATGGGAACCCACACCGAAGTCTGTGATGATGGAATCAGAACACTGGAATCAGTCCCACAGAGGCAGACCAAGAAGGAGGTCTCACTCTAAGAGCCTGCAGTAAGAACAGCTCTGGACCCAGGAAGGCAGTGGAACTATGCCTTCAAAATTCTGGGAGAAAATGATTTCCCTCCTGGAACTGTATCCAACACTTGTCTCTCAGTCTACTGTGATTCCGTAAGCTATTTAAAATACCAGAAGTGTTACTCATGGGGGCAGGTATTAGCAGCTTCCAGACTAAGAGAGATTAGAAGCAAAGGACTAGTGATCTAGTACTGCAAACTAACCAATGAAAAACTTATGGACTGCCACTGAGCACTGTCTCACTCGCTTGTTTTGGACCGATCATCAGGAAGAAGACATCATACTCGATGAGCAGGGGGCCAGCAAGCATGACAGGGTCCCCCAGTAAGATGCACTAGCACAAGAGTCACAACCATGGACAGGCACATCTGGCCACAGTGCCAATGATGCAGGGTTAGGCAACATTCGGTTCCACTGCACGCAAGCTTGCCCTAAGAAGTCAACTCAGTGGCACTGATTTCTTTATCTAGAACATACTTCAAGTATGTTGTTGTTGTTTTTATGTGCCATTGAATCGCTTGCGACTCATAGCGACCCTATGTACAACAGCCCTAAACTCCGCTCTGTCCTGTACCAATCGCATTGTCTCTGACACTCCCATCCCAATTATCCCAGTCACTGAATCAATCCACCTCATAGAGGGTCTTCCCCTCCTGCGCTGTCCCTCCACCCTTCCAAGCATGATGTCCCTCTCCAAGGACTGGTGTCTCCTTACAACATGTCCAAAGTATGTCAGACGAAGCCTCAGAATCCTTGCCTCCAAGGAGCAGCCCGGTTTAACCCTCTCCAGGATGAACCTGTTCGTTTTCTTAGCAGTCCATGGTATACTCAATAGTCTTCTATGGCACCACAGCTCAAAGGCATCAATTCTCCTTCTTCCTCCCTAGTAATTGTCCAACTCTCTGACACATAACAAGTGACTGCAAAGACCACGGTCTGTATCAGATGCACCTTAGTTTTCAGAGAGACACCATTGCTCTTCAGTACTTTGGAGAGGGCTCTGACAGAAGACTTTCCCATCCCAATATGTCTTTTAATTTCCTGGCTGCTGGTACCAAGAGTGGTGACTGTGGATGCTTCAAGTATAAACTTTTTTAAATGATGACAGCAAACTAATTTTACCTAGCACAGTCTCCCAAACTGCCTACCCGACACCTTTCTCTGAAAGCTGTCAAAGAACGTGTCCCATCAAAAAGAGTGTATAAAGCAAGACACAGCAGACAGAATGGGAGAACTCCTCAAGGAGGACATGCAGGGACCTCGGGAGGATGACTGGGCAGCAGGACCACGGGACCACGGGCAGAAGCTCCACAGAGGCACCTTGATCACAGGATGTGATGAGAGAAGCTGACTATGTGGCAGAGAATCTGGGGATGAATTTGTAATAGGGACATAGGAAACACATAGATGGAAAGAAATGGAGTAATTATAACTCCTGGAAGGGAAGTTCTAAAAAGTAGCATAATCAGCTGTTAAGTTCTATGATGCACACAATAGAAACATGGAATACTTTTACATATGTGCTATAAGGGAAGATGGAAGGAGAAAAGTGTGCGAGGGACCTGAGTGCAGTAGATATGAGAGCCCTAAATCAGGAAGGCAATATCTATGTGTCTACATGCACGATCTACGCTTTTAAAAAGGAAAAACCCACGGTTTACCCAGGTCACATAGCAAAGCCGAGGTAATTAGCCAAAGCAACAGAGAAGACTAAGCGAATGGAAGATCTGGGCACTGCTGGCCCAAATTCTCACAACCAAGTCAGCCAGAGCTGTGAGGGGGTTGTCCCAGATAGATCAGCACACCCTTCCTCGGTTCTTAGAGACCCAAACAGCCCCGGTGACTTTGGATTTTGTTCCAAGGTGTGAATCTGCATACACACCCATCCATCATCTACCCATCGATCCACTCAGCCACTCACCTACCCTTCCATACACCCTCCCACCTCCTCATTCCCCTATCTGTCCACCCACCCAGGTATTCATTTAAATACTTCCTCAGTGCCAGACACTCGGGGCAGCAGTGAGCTTCAGGGCTGCTGAGGGGGGCTGGTCAGCGCTCCAAGGAGGAAGCACTCAGCTCAGCCAGGAAAGGGACACACCATCAGACGAGGAGGAACAGAGCATGTGCAGGAAGGCGGGCAAGGAGGCCTACTTTTGGCAGCTTCCAGGTCCCAGACGCGGATGGAGCCTGACTGGGAACCAGCCACAATGAGCTCCTCAGGGGTGTTGAGGCGGACACTCTCCACCGGGGACGTGTGACCCGTCAGGCTCTGTGGAGAGAGGGTGGAAGCGTCAGGGCACCGCCTGGACAGACCAGAAGCTGCCCCAAAGTCTGGGTCCCAGAAAAGGCAGCAGTAAGAAGCAGCTAAAACAGGGACGCTGCGCTCGGAGGGGACACCCCCACTTGTCTGCAGACCAGCTGAATGGCTCCTTACTTCTCAGCTCCCACGGCTACAACGGGCCAGACCCTGGTCAACTGCCAGCTTCTCCCTCCTCCACTGGGGCCCTGGACTCCTGAGAGGGACAGGTCACCAAGATAAGGCTGGGCGACCCAGCCTGACTCCCAGAAACCGTGGTTTCCAGCCTGCACGAAGGGAAAAGAAGGCAGAGCCCACACTGCACCCCTGCAGAGTGCCCGGGTACACCGCCAGGTCGACCTTCAGTGGAACCGAAAGGACCTGGAGGTGACTCTGCTGGAGAATAAGAGGAGAAGAGGCCGGAAGCTGAAAAGGGCTGAGCCAGGTCCGGACCCAGCCTCGTTGAGTGGCAGCGATACTGGACTTGCAGCTTTCCGAAGAGGACATAGGAGCTGATGTCCACAGTGACTGTCACAGCCCACGGAGAGCTGGTCATCCTAACGGCACGGTGGGGACCATGTCAGTGTTTGTTAAGACAACATTACTCATGGGGCCTGCAGGCTGCACCTAGTGTCAAAAATCAAAGGCCAGAAATGCCAATGTCCACCATGGGAGTCCTTCCACGGCTTGTCTCCGTAGCCGACTTTTCAATGCGTGCACGTTGCCTTGGCATTTCCGAAAACAATAACAAAAACACTCTGAACCCTAAAGAAAATAAAGCTAAATAAAATATAGTCGTTCACTGCTTAACACGCACAATCTATCTGTTCTTTGAAACTGGATGCTGCGTGATTTGGATGTTGTGTGAACGCCGCATTACAGCCTTGTCCTGCTTTAAGTATCTCCAACAAACGTCATGCTTTCGTAGTGATCATCCAGCCACATGCTGAGAAGTCATGTGTTAGTTCCTCAAACCATCAGCAATTTCTTCACACGGGAGCGTTCTGCGTCTTTGTTAGCCTGTTGCTCTCAATGGAGCTGAGTCTTTAAAAGCTTGGAGAATCTGACCTTTGATTCTGAGGGCCACCACGGTCCTCCAGTGACACGCCTAAATCCCAAGCAGTAGCATTCACCAATTTTGCACCTCAGGGATGTTTCGCTTCACCCCTCCAAACTAACGTTTCTCCTTTGTCTCACTACTGCGAACATGAGCACTAGCTCTGATCTGTTTCATGGCTTATGTCACAGGAATAGTTTTGAAGAGAAAATTCAAGAGCTGTGCAACACATCCGATTAGATACTGCTACCCAGGAGTCAATGTATACACTGCTATAGGGCACAATTTTTAATAGAAAAATACAGTTGTTGTTGTTGTTAGGTGCCACTGAGTCATAGACGACTCATAGCGACCCTATGATTGAAAGGCCTGAGCACTGTTCATAGTTTCTGGAGGCAAGCCATTTTGGAAGTGGATACCACTCCTGTTTCCAAGCTTGTTTTAATCGGGAAGCTCCACCAAACACTGTCCACCATGGGTAACCATTAGCGCATTTGGCACATCAGTGTCACAGTGTTCAGCATCACAGCAACCACGAGTTACCTCTGTACAGCAATGCACAGACAAGTGCTATACCACCTAGAAGAATGTTTGACAAAAACCAATTTGAACTAGGACTGTGGGCCACAGATTAAAATCACCCACCTTTGGCTTAGTAGCATAACTTTCTGTCCACTAGGCCAATGTAGCTCTATGGTTTTTGGTGGGTTTTTTAAAAAAAATTTTTATTTTATTATTTTGTAGGTGTGTGTATCGTCAAATCAGATCTGACTGGTACAGGAGGAGATTGCTCCTCCTTCTCCAGCAGAGCATCTGGTGGATTTGAACCGTGCACCTATGGGCAATGTAGCTCTATGTTGTCATTGTTATTGTTGTTAGGTGCCATCGAGTCATAGGTGACTCATAGCGACCCTATGAACGAAAGTCCTGAGCAATGTTCATAGTTTCCAGAGGCAAGCCATTTTGGAAGTGGATGCCGCTCCTGCTTCCAGGCTTGTTTTAATTGGGAAGCTCCACTAAACACTGTCCACCATGGGGAACCATTATCACATTTGACACATTAGTGTCACAGTAGAAATACATAGTACAAAAGAAAAAAAAGAAAGAAAGAAAGAAACTAACAGTACATAACTAGTAGGGAGCTCTGGTGGCCTAGTGGTAAGAATCAGTGCCACAATCCCAAAGGCATGCAGTTCAAATTCACCAGCTGCTCTGCAGAACAAAGATAGGCAATCTCCTCCCATGTGATTAACTGCCTCTGAAAACACGTGGAAGGATCAGCTATGAGTCAGTTCCAACAACATAATACCTCAGACATTTATTAGGACTATCATATGCATTCCAGTTTATGCACATACTGTACCTCTACGTGCCTGGAAGGGCAGTCACTTTGTACACAGGAGCTGTCGGATAAATACGTGGAATGGGGAAGCTGTTGCATCTGCTAAGTCCCATTCTCCAATGAGGTTTTCTGAACTCCACCATAACTTGATGGGACCACATATGTAGATGTGGTTGAGGGATACCTGAATAGACATCATGCAGTGCCCGGCTAAGAACAAAATCTCAATCCTGTTCTTACTGGACCCTTGCTGCAAACTCCCAAGGGCAATGAGGTGATCAAGTTCAGGACTATCACCTCCCACCACTCTACCACTGCCTGGATTTGGCCAAGAGTCAGCAGAGTGATCAGAGTGTGTGCTGGCAAAGGTCTGGGGGAAGAGGGCACACTCCCATTCTGCTGTGAGAATGAAGAGGGCATTTGGCAACATTGTTTGGAAAGCCTTTGTTAAAAGTGCACACCCTACATTTAATGCGATGATCACAGAACTGGTCCAAGGTTTAGGGAGATGGAGATGTGGTTTAGGAGAGCCAAAAAACTGGAACCAGCCTCCACGCAGATAACCTGGGTGTGGCTCAAATAGCTATGACTCATCCTGCCAATGGGAAACCACGAAGCCACTTAAAACTGTTGAAAACAATGGTGCTCACGACACTGTCATTTTTAAAAAAGCAGGCTGCAGAGGCGTAAGGAAGTTAGGCATTCTGGAAATACACTTTTAGATACTTGTGTGTATGTGTACGGGTGATTTTAATCTGCGGTCCTCAGGCCTGGTTCTAATTGGTTTTGGTCAAACATTTTTCTAAGTGGTACAGCCCTGGTCTGTCCGTTTGCCATACAGAGGTAACTCGTGGTTGCTGTGATGCTGAACACTGTGACACTGATGTGTCAAATGCGACAATGATTCCCCATGGTGGAAAGTGTTTGGTGGGGCTTCCTAATTAAAACAAGCTTGGAAGCAGGAGTAGCCTCCATTTCTATAATAGCTTGCCTCTGGAAACTCTATGAACCTGAAGAAATGACGAAAGTTATACAAGTGTTCAGGTCTTTCATTCATAGGGTCGCTATGAGTTGTCTACGACTCGACGGCATTAACAACAACATGTGGTTTGTAATGTAAGGAGTCCTGGTGGCACAGTGGTGAAGTACTCAACTGGTAACTCCCTCCAGCTGCTCCGTAGGAGGAAGAAGGGGCAGTCTGCTTCTGTGAAGACCACAGCCTTGGGAACCCCATAGGGCAGGTCTGTAGCACTGCTGCCCATGTGACACACGGCCCTACACGACTGCTGGGCTGCATACACTACTCACCTGTGTGTACATGCACGTGCAAGTTGCTGTTGGGTGCCATCAACCGTGACTTACAGACATCCTATGTACATGGCTCTGAATCCTGTCCTATCCTGAGCCAATCGCACTGTCTCTGACACACCTGTCCCCACTGCCACAGTCACTGTGTCAATCCACCTCATCCAGGGTCTTCCTCTCCTGTGCTGTCCCTCCAGCTTTCCAAGCATCAGTCCTTCTCTAAGGACTGATCCCTCCTGGTAACATGCCCAAAGTATATGAGTCAGAGCTTCAAAAGCCTCACATCCAAGGAGCAACCTGGTTTAACTTTCTATACGGCACGACTGTTTGTTCTCTTGGCAGTCCATGGTATGTTCAAGTGTCTTCTCCAGCACAACCTAAAGGCATCAACTCTTCTTCTGTCATCCTTAGTCACTGTCCAGCTCTCTGATGCGTAGCAAGTGATTTCGAAGACCATGGCCTGGCTCAGGTGCACCTTAGTCTCAAGAATGACATCGGTGCTTTTCAGTACTCTGGAGAGGTCCGTGACAGAGGATTTTCTAAATGCAATTCATCTTTTCATTTACTGATTACTAGTGCCAAGAGCGTTGATTGTGGACCCGAACAAGTGGAAACTATTAACAATCTCAATCTCTGCCATCTATCATGATGATGCCAATTGGCTTGGTGGTGAGAATCTTTGTGCAAGTAGGTATACTGATATCAGGATCTAGAACATATGTCAAAATACCAACTACAGTGGTCTTCAGATAATGGAACTGAAAGTAAACCTTCTGTAATCAAGTCAATCCCAATCCCTGTCAGGTCACTATGAATAATGAATCATGTAGAAAAACTAGGTTTCTTCATTTTTGTGTTTCTGTTTTCTAAATGTCAGGCACTGATTATATTTTCCTTGTATGTTAAGAGGAAGATGCTATTAAAGGAGATTTCAAAGCAGCTCCTTCCAGGTCCACTTGAGTTTCTGTGGCACGAGGTGGAGGATGAAGTGACACTCAACCAACCACAGAAGCAGACAGGCAGGCAGGTGGGTGAACGTGCAGACAGGCGGAGGGCCTGGGACTCAACCACACTTTCTTGTGCACACTCCTCGCTTCCTGCCCACTGCCAGGTGCCCAGATTCTAGGGTAGCCACTGTCTCGGTCACCCTGGTTGTCCTGGGTCTTTCTGGGTGGACCACTGGGCAGGAAGTTGGCCACTGATATCATGCTGCACCCACACTCTGTCTGGGCCCTCGGCCTGCACCGTTCCCCTCCCAGACCCTTGCCCTGCCCCCCCAGCGCCCCGCCTCCATGGCTCACCATGATGCAGTTGGGCTTGTTGATGGACCACAGGTTGACACGGCAGTCATCTCCGCCTGTAGCCAGCAGTCGCCCGGAACCTTTGCCCAGCACCAGCGAGGACACATTGCTGGCATGGGCGACGATCTCCTCTACAAAGGGAAGGGGAGGAGGGGATGCAGTCAGGTCTAGCAGGTCCTCGCCCTGCTCTGCTGCACAGCTCAGGGCTCTGTCTCATTCCCTTCCCTTGACTCCCCCAGGGCCCTTCTCAGGAGCCACAGAGCCTGCTGACAGGGCAGGGGTAGACCTGAGACCAAAACAGCTGTCTGTCAGCTTTGGTCATTTCTTATACTTTGCAATTTCCCCCCACCTCGCCTTTAGGTCTTGCAATTCCCCCTCCCCCAAGTTCTTGCATATCAGCAGGTAACATTATTGACTTAGTGATTTTTCAAATGGTCTTGTTATTTTAACTTGGCTTTCTCTTATGCAATATTGATAAAATAATGTTTGAAGTGTTGTTCATTATACTTTTTCTTTGCAAAATTTTTTAAAAAAATTACAATCTTTCTGCATCCGTGTACCCACTATGTCCTTGTCAGATGCCACGGGGGACAGTACACAAATGCCAGCTCAGGAAGCAAACGGAATCCTTCACTTCAACTCCAGATGAGCCATCAAAAGCTGAGAGTGGACGGGCTTCAGTGCACAGACTCAGACTCCAGATGAGGTCCTGCTGCCGCTGGCTGTGTGAGGCTCAACTACATTCAAGATGCCCAACCTCACTGCATCAGGACCAAGCACCAGCGGGCACCTTAGGAACCTCACCATTTGACCTAAGAGAGCCAGGCCTCTTGACTTCTCATCTCTCTATGGAGCCTTCTATCCGCTAGACACCATAAAGACACTCACTACCTGGTGTCCTGACCACAGATACAGGTCTGTTCAAGAGCCTTTGCTGGGTGACAGAGAGAGCGCCTGTCCCCTGCCCCCCTGGGCATCTGCCCCCAAGCCTCAAGCTTCACCCCCACCAGGACCATGCCAGCACGCACTGCCCTGCCCACAACCTTCCTTGGGGTCAGAGTTGCCTGTACTCCTCACCTCACCCAGGCAGGCTGGCTCCTCAGGGGACCCCTACAGGCATATGCTGCCCCCTCTGAGTCTCGGAACTGCTGTTTCCAGTGCCTGCTGTTCACCTGGAATGTAAGGATTCCCGGGCACTGCTCGAGGCCTGGCACTGGGGAGTGAGAACAAACAGGTGCCTGCCTTCCTGATACAGGTTGACCAGTGAGCGACTCCAGCTCAGACGTCCAGCGTGCAGACCCACACACACTGGGTTGATGGGATCTGGAAGGTGAGCCCTCTGGAAGGGCTCAGGCCGGTTTTCTCCAGGCAGTCTGACCACCAACCTACCCTGACGTGCAGCTCAAAGATGAATCTAGGTACACAGGGCACCGGCCCAAGAGCATCCCATCCAGCCTGGCCTAAAAGAGGCCGCAGCTATGGTGGCCTTGGTGCCTATCTAAATACAATCACTCCTCACACAGGCTCCTAGCGAGCCATGCTGCCCGCTGCACTCTGACCAGGAGCACCGCCTATGCCCACTGACACAATGTTACAACCTGTGCGCCTGCCGGAGTTAGAGAACGCTATCAATTCTGGCCAGAGGCAGCGAGGACCTATGACCCCATGCTGGCCAGCCACCTGCCGATCTTCACCAGACCCTGCCAAGGAGTCAGAGGTCATTTAGATTCAAACAGTTTGCACTGATGAGAATCGCTATGCAGACAGAATCATCAGAAGGTGCCCCGTACGACTGCTCCTGTTACCTCCCACTTAGAACAACGTGAGTGGGTTGGCCTCGGGCTGAAGCCCACAGACATGGAACCCTGCAGGCCTCACCTGCTTCATGTGGCTCTGTGGACTACTGTGTTCTAGCCACTGACCTCCTTCCAGTGCACTGAGCTCACTGCCTCAGGGCCTTTGCCCATGCTGTTGTGGAAGCCTCTCTTACCCACCAGCAACTGCTTAATGATTCAAGGCACATGTTTCTGTTCAGAAAGCATTATGGATGGATAGAGATATCCCATTCCTGCCTGTCACTCTCTCCAGGGTCTGAGCACCAGTGCAAAAGGGGCCTTGTCCAATTGGCTCCCCACCCAATGCCTGGCTCTGTGCTCAGGAAAGATTGCAGTAGTGATGGGATGCAGACATAATCCCAACAAATGCAAGGCCAGCAATCCAAAGCATTCTCTCCCTGGGTGCCAATAACAGGCTTGTTGCAGAACTTGGGGCTTTAGGGGACAATGTGAAAATGTCCCCAACCTCTCATTTTAGAAGTGAGGACACTTAGAGACAGCAAAGGGCTTCATCAGAAGCTCACGGTTAGAAAGCAGTGGACTGGACCCCTGTCCCATGTCCTGCTTGCCTTTCCTTTTTCTCTAAACGGCCCAAGGACAGCTCACGGCAGGCCCAGTGCCCACAGAGCTGACAATGTACAAAACAGCTGTTATACAAGTATGGTCTGAGGATCTCAGGGCCCTTCCAGGGCTCCAGGGAGGACTAACGTATCATCACAATCCTTCTAAGATGCCATGGGCCTATTGCACCCACATCCTCTCACAAAGACACTGTGGTTTTCCAGAGGACAGACTGTGATGATGTCCTCACGGCAGGTCCCCTGTGCATTCTTCTGTTTCTAAATCTCTCCATCCTAATCTCTAACGCTAAGTCATAAGAGACAGAATCCACATACAGGTTACATGACAAGTCCCAAGGGTCCAAGTTCTTTGCGTGAGGGAGTCCACCATGTAATTTAAGGGTATAAAGGGTCTCAAGATCAGAATCTGAAAGCCACTAATGCAGAGGAAAGGAGTTCTGGTGGCTCGACAATCAAGCACATGGCTGGTGGTTCAAGCCCACCTAGGAATCCCAAGGGAGACCTGCCGATTTGCTCCTGTAAAGATCACATCCGCTGCCCCCATGTCCATCCTGACTCACAGCAACCCGACAGGACAGAGAGGAGCTGTCCCAGAAGGTAAGGAGCGGCCCCGGAGGGTATCCACCGCTGTAACATTTACAGAAGCAGAACACAAACCCCGCTCCTGCAAAACGGCTGATAGGTTTGAACCAGGAACCTTTCCTTAGTCAAAAAACAATCAGACAGCACTTAAAAACAATAGTACAGAGGAGCAATAGGGTTGCGTGGTGCTCAGGCTGGATCACAGACCAGGGTCCATCAGCCTCCCTCTGCCTACTCCGGACAGTCTGGTGGTTCAGATAATCACCGAAGCCATCTCTGACAGCGGAAACTCAATTTATGAGACATCTAAAAATCCCCAAGAATAGCTGTTGGGAATCTCCACTCCAGTGTATCTGTCAGTCTCACTGGAAACCTTTTGGTCCCTGAAAAAAACAATTATACTAATAAAGGATCTTACAAGTGCAAGTCCTTGTGAAAGTGCTGTAAATTCACTGTCTCTGGGTAGGTAATTCTAGGATTTAGGCAGCTGTGACTGCCTTATTTTACAGATGAGGAAACTGAGCTCAGAGAGGTTACATCATGTGCCAACGTCTTCTAACTACAAGTCCCATGCTCATGATCCTGGTGCAGTGGGTTCCAGCGGCCCAGAAACAAACATCTCACAGAGTAAATGGGTCAAATAAATAAGAAGGAACCACTCACGCAATTTCCAGGCGGTCTTGGTGACTACAGGGGTGGCCATCTTTCAGCTGGCTGGCTCCTGGAGCCCCACACACCAGGTAGAAGATGCTTTCCTCTGTGGAGTGGGGGTGGATCCCCCCCAGATCCACCAATCAAGTTGGTAGGGAGTTTCCACACATCCAGGCAGAAAAAAATCCTTGTCTGCTGGACCCACACTCCTTTGCGGTTTTAAACCATCAAAAGTAGCAGCCTGTGCACGCCTGTCGGGATCTGGGGTCATGGGACGTTGTGTCAGACTTAGGCCATCTCAGCTCAACACAACACTGGAAAACAAATGGGTGGTGCCTTGTTAGGAAGGATGACGTGGGAGCTCAAGAGATCCTGTGGTTGCAGAAATGCAGCTGAAAAATCACCAAGACCACGTGAAAGGGACCAAGACCCATCAAAGCCAGATGCTTGCTGCAAACGGGGCTTCCAAGCATGGAGAGATGCAACTAGGTGACCCGGGACATTGGGAAAACAGAAGGTTCTCCCTCTGATAATGGGAGGAAGCTCTGCTTCAGGACGCCGCCTGACATGCAGCTGCAGCAGTGAGGCTCGGAAAATCACGTGTCTGCTTTCAGATGGATCTAGGAGTCACTGTTCTGCCTGACTGATGGGAAGCGGGTAGGACCAAGAGGATACGCTTTAAAGGGGCCGATAGAGGTGGCCCAGAGACTGGGCACTGAGGTCCTCCTCTTTGCGAAGGACCTCAAAGAGACCCCTAAGAGTTCAAGTTCCTTATAATCAGCGGCATGAAGACCGACTCCAGCTCCCTGTATTCCCCAAGGGCAGTGTTAGGTCTCCGGACACCGGCATGACTCCCTAGCGATGTAAGGCCACCTCTTTCCCAGCAATCCTCTCCCACTCCATCCCGTTCTCCCGGGCCCCTCTGCTCGGCCTCTCGGTTCACTTCCCTTTCTTCCTGCCACCTATGTGACATCTGGTCTCCGGACTCCCTAACCTGGACCCTGCCTCTCCAGGTCCCTTCACGCCTCTTCCCCATTCATTCAGTCTCCTGCTTCTAGTATTCATTACGGAGCCTCCGGCAGACCCTCAGATCTGCTTCCGGCCTCCCTAGACACTCCCGCAGCCCCGCACCAGTCCTGCCTGTCTGGAGGCTGGGATGGGCCTCTCGGCCTCGCCAGGGCCACCCCACGCAGCTTTCGGGACATGGGCTTCCAGCCTCTCGCGGCCCCGAGACCTCTCTGCCAAAGGTCAGCTCGGTGTGGCCCCGCCTAGCTTGGCCCGGCACAGGACTCTTCTAGACCGCCCCTCCTAGACCCCTCGCCCATATTACCTGCAGCTGCGGCTCTGGAGTCCAAGGATCCTCTCCCAGCGCGACCCTTACTTGCCTCCATCCCCGGTTCTGATTGGCCGCTGCTTGACAACCGACCCTCACAACAAAACCTCCGGCCCAGAGGCCGCGCCCATTTCACTCTCTGCACCAATTAGCCGCCAAGGACGCACCGCCTTCTCCTAGAGCTGGCCAATAGAAGCAGGCGCTTCTGCCGCTTTCCCAGAGTGCCCGCCCTCCATCGCTGAATCGGACTAATCACGATGAAGAACCGTTCAAGATCCGCCCCTCGGTTGTAATGCACCAATGGGGGCTTCCATTTCCTTGGTCCCGCCTCCTCCCCAAGCTTTCCCTTCCCTCCTCCTTTCGGTCTCTTCGAACCCAGTTTGCGTTTGAAAAATCTGTGCGACGTCCTCCAATGGCGCCTGCACCAATTACTTTAGCAACCGTCTCGCTAAGCCAATCAACGTTCGGATTATTGGAGGAAAGAAGCCAATTCCTAGACGGCCAATGGAAAGGGGATCTGGGGTAGTGGCCTGGGACCTACCATATTGAAGTGCGATGAAATAGGGAGGTGGCCTGAGTCAGCATTTACTTCGATTTACGCTTCTTCCCTTTACCTCCAGCAGTGCTGTAGTAATGTGAGGACTCTGCTTCCCATCTCTGATCCGAATTCCAGCTTGAATTTCCCACCGGAGTCCTGGAGAGGTCCAGATGCAGGCGCCGAGCCCAGGAGTGACAGCCTACGACCTGGGCGAATGGAGGTGTGGGCAAGTGCAGGTGGGGCTGCTCCCCAAAGGGGAACCACAAGCGAGGAATCCGAGGAAGGCTACCATTACCTGTGACTCCGTAGGTGCAGGGAGTGTCGGGACTGCATTGGGACCAGCGTGGCCCAGCTTGCCAGTGCCCACGTGCCAGGCAGGCTCCAAGACTGAAAGGTGGTGGTCCAGCTGTTCCTGGACAAAGTGCCCTTTCCGCCAGGCGCTGCTTCTGCCGAACACACCGAAACCAAGGTGGAAAATCCCTGTGCGTTTTATTAGCAGATCTGGAAGGCATTGAGAGATCTCTTCCTCCATTCAGTTGGAGTTCTTACAGACCAGACCCTTTCTGTATGTCAGTCTGCTTAACATATGATTACCTTCTTTAATAGTTCCGTGTTGAATTATGAGAGAGAAAACAAAGAGCCTATAGGCGATATCATGGTAGATGGGAGAACGGATAGAAATTGTCAGTGATTTATTTTTGCTTAGATCTGCAGTCCACACCCTTGGCACCAGCATTCAAGAAATCAAAAGACAGTGTCATAAACACCCATGTTTATCACAGCATTGTTCACAGTAGCAAAGAGAAACAGATCAGGTGTCCATCCACAATTGAATGGCTGGAGAAACTGTCGTATGTTCATTCACATAGGGGAATACTACACATCATTGAAAAATAATAAGCTCCAAAACGTGGATGAGTCTGTAAGATGTTAGGCGGAGGGGAGCTCTGGTGGCCTAGTGGTAAGGAGCTGCAACTACAATCCCAGAGGCGCACGGTTCGAATCCACCAGATGCTCTGCCGGGGAAGGAGGGACAATCTCCTCCTGTACCAGTCAGATCTGATTTGACGGTACACACAAATAATAAAATAAAAATTTAAAAGAAAAAAAAAAGATGTTAGGCTGAGCAAAATATCTCAATCACAAAGGGTCAAAAACTGCATAGGGCTATTATTGCAATAATAGAGTCAAGATGGGGAAAGAATGGATAGATAATGAACGCTGCACTGCAACAGGTGAAAAGAAGAACATTCTCAGAGGAATGGATTAGAAACCATGTGTATGACAAGAGGGGAATTGGAAGGGAAGAAAGTCTGTACAAATGAATTAAGTATTATAAGAAAGAAAAGACGGTGGCCTAGTGGTAAGGAGCTGCAACTACAATCCCAGAGGCGCACGGTTCGAATCCACCAGATGCTCTGCCAGGGAAGGAGGGACAATCTCCTCCTGTACCAGTCAGATCTGATTTGACGGTACACTCACACAAAAATAATAAAATAAAATTAAAAAAAAGACACTGCATTGGAAAAACTGCTTTTAGGAACCTCTCAAAATTCTAAGGAGCAGTAACACCAGTTTGAAGATTAAGGTGCACCTGATGCAGGCGATTTTCAATCACTTGCTATTGGTCTAAGAGCTGGACAATAAATAAAGATAACAGAAGGTTCAGATATGTTATTCCTAGGGTTGTTAAGAATTGTACTGACGGCACATAATGAACAGTAGTTCAGTGGTTTTCCTGTTTGGGAGTGGAACTTAATCCCATTGAGTCAGTGTCTCACATCCTGCGCCTTTCCTCAAACCATGACACTGATGTAATTGAAAGTATTTGCTGTTATGTGCCATCAAGTTGCCTTCAACTCAGTAACTCTGAAGCCTGCCCTATGTGAGCCAACCTCACTGTTTCTGACACACCCACCCATCATTATCCTCGATTAAAAGAGCATATTGTAGTAAGTGCTGTTGTATCAATTCTGACTCATAGCCACTCAGTGAACAGTGGATCTGATCATGTGCCATCCTCATCATCTCTGACATAACTTGAGCCCAGCTATATGTCACTGTGTCAATTTGTCTCACTGAGGGAATTGGGAATACCTCTCTTTTGTTGACCCTCCACCTTTTTAAACATGATCTCATTTTTCCAGGACCAGCCCCTCCTAACAACCTGACCAAGGTCTGTGAGAAGTTCCACTATCCTTGCCTCCACGGAACACCCTGGTTTCACCTTTCTAAGTCATGCTTGTTCATCCTTTTGGCACTCCATGGCATATTCAGCACTCTTCAATAGCACAAAACATCAAACAAAGCCCTTTCAATTCTTCCCATTCTTGATTGGACCTTAGCAGCACACTGTCTGTCAGTTGCAGCCTCTCCCACTTGTTCCAGTTCTATCCTCAAAGCAGCGATTAGCTGGGAGGTGGTGTAATGGCTTTCACAACTGCACAGGACAATTAGTAATTTCCATGTTTAGGGACACACCACAGCAGGCATTTACAAAGAGGGATGTTGTTAGGTGCCATCGAGTCTCATCCTTGAGCCCACTGCTGTGGTCACTGTGTCAGTCAATCTTGTTGAAGGTTGACCCTCCACCTTTCCAAGCATGATGTCCCTTTCTAAAGAAAGGCACCTCCCAAACACATACCCAAAGTACATGAGACCATCCTTATCTCTGGAGAGCACTCTGCTTGCACTCCTCTCAAGACTGACTTGGGGTTTTTGACAGTCCATGAGATACTAAGTACTCTTCTCCAACTCCATGGCTCAGAGGCATCACTTTCCTCATCCTTATTCATAGTTCCACTCTCTGACTCAAAAGACCGTGGCCTGAATCATGTTAGTCTGACATCATTGCCCTTTTGTACTTTGGAGAGGTCCTTGACAGTAGACTTTCCCAAGGCCCATCTTTTTATTTGATTGCTGGTGCCAAGGGATCAAGGATTGTGGATCCAAGTAAGATGAAATTGTTGACAATTTCAATCTTTATCTATCATGATGTCGTCTGTTGGTTCATGAGGATTTATGTGTTTTTGATGTTGGTAAGTAATCCGTATTGAAGGCTGTAGGGTTTGATCTGCTGTGGAAAGTGCTTCTTTACCTTCTTTACTCTTCTTTACCTTCTGCAACCAAGAGTATGTCATCTGTGTAACACGGGTTCTATTGATGAGTCTTCTAATACTGATACCACATTCTTCATGTAGTCCAGCTTCCTGAGTGATTTGCTCAGCGTACAGATTGAATAGGTGTGGGGAAAGGATACAGCTCTGATGCATACCTTTCCTGATTTTAAAACATGCCGTATTCCCTTGTTGTGTTAAAGCAACTACTTCTTGGCCTATGTATAGGTTTCACATGAGCACAATTAAGTGTTCTGGGATTCTCGTTCTTCTCAATGTTAACCGTAATTTGATTTACACAGTCAAATGCTTTTGCATAGCCAATAAAATACAGATGAACATCTGAGTGGTGTTCTCTGCTTTCATTCACGATCCACCTGACACCAACAATGATATCCTTCATTCCATGGCCTCTCTAACTCGAGCTCGAATTTATGGTAGTTCTTATTGTGCCTCTTTTAAAATAATGTTTAGCTAGATTTTATTTGCGATAATGATTGTTGTTGTTAGATGTCACTTAGTTAACTAAGAGTCTTGGTAACCCAAGAATAACAATCCGAACCTTGTCCTACCCTGGGCATCCTCACAATCTCTGTCATGCTTTAGTGGTAGTTACTGTGTCAGTTAATGCACATCTCACTAACGATATTGTGTGACTTCCACATTCTGTTGTGTCACATTTTTCTGGAATGCGAACACACGTGGATTTCTTCCAGTCAGTTGGCCAAGTAATGGTCTTCCAAATTTCTTGGCACAGCAAACTGCATCTGGTTGTTGAGACACCTCAATTAGTATTCCATCAATTCCCGGGACCTTCCCTCAACACGAATGTCTTCAGTCCAGCTTGAATTTCTTCATTTCATTTTACAGATGTGTCAATTGTCATTGGTAAAGGGAGATGGGATTCAGACACTTAGAGACTCTTTATTGTAAACCCCAGAATTCCAGGGTTCATACTTTGGTCGTGCAATCCCCCTTCTCGAGCTGGACTACCTCCGTCACACTGAGATCTAACCAGTTGGGCATGAGTTCTATGAAACCTCGAACTCATTGCCGTGGAGTCAAGTCATATCTGATCCTCCAGTGGGTTTTCAGAGCCAATAAATCCCATGAGAGGAGTCTGCCCATCTTTCTCCCTTGGACTAGCTGGTGGGTTCAAATTGCTAGCCTTTGGGTTAGAAGCACACCTCCCTACCATCTTGGCCACCAGAGCTGATGCAGGAGACCCCTTGCAAGTGTTAAAGTGTCTAGAAAGCATTAGGCTGAGTGAAAGGACTCAGTCTCAGAAGGACAAATACTGCATAAGACCACTATTGTGCAAATAGTATAACAGAGCAAGTTCACGAGGAGAGGGGGAAGGGGGAAGGATGACAGAAAAGAGCAAGGGGCAAATCACTAGGGTAGAGGTGAACGAACGGATGGAGGGGTGTGAAGGCATGGGAAGGATTCAATAGGGACTTGGAAAGACGGGCAGATAATAGGCACAGATCCACAGTAATTATATAAAAATGTATGAAATACAATGTACATGAATGAGACATGATGTATGTGAATGGTTGTATGCTAACCAATGAATATATTAAAAATAAAAGGGGTTGATCAGACTTGTAGTTGATATAGTAATTAATCTTATCAGATACAGCAAGTAGGGAATCATGGGTTAGTCCCTTTCCTCCTTGATGTTCTCTCAAAGGTAAACTTTTTAAGACTCAAAAGGAAGCTGTATGGACTGTGACCAACTATACAAGTGACGGAACAGTTGAACAGATTGTATACCTCGTCCACTGCGGCATAGTGGAGTCATTGATGAGCCTTTTAATCTCAAAGGGTACCAAGTTTATTCTGATTATTCTGGATGCCATTTCAAGTATCTTTCAGGCTGCTGAGAAAAACAGCTGAAACAGAAAAGCTTAGTACAATAGCTGAAGAATGTGGAGGCTTTGACATAATTGAGGCTCTATAAAACCATGAAAAAGAAAGTGTGTACAAGGCTTCCTTGAACTTGATTGAGAAGCACTTGTCTGCTGAGGAAGAAGAGGAACAGAAAGTTGTATCAGAAGCTACCTCCTAAGGGTATGCCTTCCACGGTCAGGATGCTGGGACCTTTAACTTTTAAAAAAGTTTGTACACCTGAGTCCAAAAGTTCTTTGTTGTGTACTATGTTTGGTAAAATTTTGTCTTAACTGTTTTCTCTACGAATAACTCTTTATAAATGTGATTTGTTAAGAGAGCACTTTTTAGAACAAAACTACACTTGAACAGTTCCAAATTGTACATACTGTATAAAGCCTCTCCTGTCATTGAATTTCTTGTTTCTGGGTGGGATTTCTTATCTTGCCATATCCTGTAAATAAAAATTAAGTTCCACTCTTTTTTAAAAAAAATGCATATATATTTTTAAAATTAAGTATTCAAGAGTAGATATGCCACTTGAGGCCTAAGGTCTGCTTGACCTAAGCACTACCGCAGCATGTGAAAGAGCAGCAAAGAATTGATGCCTTGAGTCGTGCTGATGAAGACTATTGAATAATACTACATATGCCCAGGAGAATAAACAAATATGTTTTGAAATAAGTGCAACCAGAATTTTCCTTGTTGTTGTTGTTGTGTACCATCGAGTCAGAACTGATCCATAGCTGACCCTCCGGCAGGTTTTCAGAGGCCCGTATGGGAGGAGATTGCCCATCCTTCTTCTGCAGAGCAGCTGGTGGCCTCGAACTCAAACTGTGTGCCTTTTGGGTTGCAGTGCAGCTTCTTGCCACTAGGCCACCAGGGCGCCCTAGGCTTCGTTTCACATTTTTGGTTATGTTTTTGAGATAGATTGACCCTAGAGCAAGACATCATGCTTGGTTGAGTAGAGGGTCACTGAAGAGGAAGACTCTCAGAGAGATGGGTTGGCCCAGCAGCAGCTGTGAGGATGACAGAGGACTGGATAGTGTGCTGTTGTGTTGTAAGAGTCAGCGAGTCACAGCTGGCTAACAATTAGCCTAAAAGGCAGCAGTTACAGACCTGCCTTGCTCTCTGGAACACTGTCCTACCAATGTGCTTCCTTGAAGGCTGCCGTTCTATTCTGTCCACCTGGGGGCGCCATATGGCAACACTGCTCATAGGCAATAGTCCAGTTTGGTTTTGATGGAGGGAGAGGGTGTTGTGTGCAGGGGTGCTGAGAAGACTCAGCATTCCAGTTTTGAGGGAGATGAACAAGGGAGGAGGAAGGCCGATCCCCTCCCAGGCTCGAGGAAAAGAAGAATAAAAAAAAATCAGCCCCTCTGGCTTCATGGGACCCTCCATCAGATTCCGGATGCTGTGAATCTTACATGGAGCTGACTCTTGCATCCTTTTCCCCAGGATTCACAGGTGGATTGGAACCACCAACATCTAACCCCACTACATTGCCAGGGCACCTTGGGTAAAGAAGGGAAGGATAAAAAGCACTGAAGCTTGTGAAATATGAAGCGCAAATGGCAAATTTAAAGCGTTTATTTACAGGCAGATCATGAGAAGCAGGAACAGAAAGGGGTGCAGAGAAGGTGGTGTGTGAGGGTGGGGTACCTGAGTGAGTGGCTGGGGCCAGGAGGAGGGGCCTTTTCCCTGGAAGCTTCTGCTGAGGCCCCAGGAGAGACATCAAGCAAAGACTTTGAAGAACTCCACCAAGCGAGGATCCTTGTAGAGCTTCTCCTCCAGAGCCAGGTACTTCAGGGGGGCCAGCTCCTTGTGTCTGGAATCAGAGGGTGGAGCAACAAAGGGGTGAAGGAGCACAGAGCTGGTGACCCTGTCCTCAGCCGCGGCTCTCCCATTCCCTCATCATTTCACGACGGCCCCCCAACCTTCTCCATCCCTCTCAGGTCCCCTCAGCCCCCTGTCGTCTCACCGATTGAGCCGCTGCTCCAGGATGCGGATCCGGAACATGGCCTGAGAACAGTAGCTCAGGTACATGTCCTCATCCTCGGGCGTCAGGGTCATCTGGTTCTCCTGGTACCACTGCTGCTTCTTCTGCAGCTCCTGGGTTTCCTGTGGGCACCGGGAGGAGAGAGTTGATGGGGACCGACTCTTACCCTGGACTGCGGACTGAGATCTTACTAGTTACAGACGGAGCTCCGCTGCCCACCCAGAGAAATCAGAACAGCAGATGCAGGGGCCACACGGGGCTTGGGCGGAAGCTGCCGAGCCCTTGTTTAAAGGAACGGATCTGTATGTGTAATAACAACAACATAGAGAGAGATTAATTGGCCCAGTGGACAGAAAGCGATGCTGTGGGTGACTTTTAATTGCGGCCCTCGGGCCTGTCATTCATTGTTTTTGTTCAGACATTCGTCTAGGTCGTATAGCTCTGGTGTATAAGTTGCTGTACAGCAGTCACCTGTGGTTGCTCTGAGGCTGAACAGTGTGACACTGATGTGTCAAATGCGTTAATGGTTGGTTACCCAATGCGGACAGAGAGTGGGGTGGAGCTCCCCAATTAAAACAAACATGGAAGGAGGAGTGGCATCCACTTCCATAATAGCTTGCCTCCGGAAACCCTATGAACCTGGAAAAAGGATGAAAGACACACCTCCGGAAACCCTATGAACCTGGAGAGAGGATGAAAGTCACACAAGCGTTGAGGACTCTCCTTCATAGGGTCGATATGAGTTGCCTGCAACTCGACGGCACTTCCCAACAACAACAACATCTGTATGTGTGGAGTGAGGGTCAAAACTAAGGCAACAGTACATCACTGGAAAAGTTAGCCTCACAGTTTCAGAGCCTCCAAGTTCTTAAGTGAATAATGAGGCTCATTGTGGCCCTCTCCACGACCACCCCTCTCCGAGCCATTTACAGTTAGATAGTGTGGGAAAAACATACGGGAGACACTTGGCCTGCAGAAACAGATTGAAGACTAAGATTTGTAACAATGAAATCTGTCCCTCCACTCCATCTATGCACCCTCCCACTGGTGCACAGCAGCGAGGGTGCCTCATTCGGAAACACCAAGCATGGATACCCTCTCATCCCGTCAGTGGTGCCTCCCAGGTCTGTGAGGTGGTGGGCCAGACAGCCCTGGGCCCATGTCCTGGATGAAGCTGCCAAGGGATCCCATCTACCCCACCTTCTCGAAGCGGGCCTGGATGAGGTTGGCCTTGTCGATGAGCCGCTGCTTGAAGTCACTGAGACACTCATCCTTGAGACGCATGGCCTGCCAGCGGTTCAGCTTCTCGCCCGGCAGGAGCTGTGCCAAGAACGGGGCCAGGTAGTCCAGCTGGGTCTCCATCTGTCTCAGGTGCTCCTCGTGCATCACGCGCTCCTGCAGGGTTGGGTGGGGACAGGAGGGTCAGGCCAGGCCAGCAGGGTTTCAGAGACCTCCCCACTGGCCTTAAAGAGCCAGGCCGCGAATCCAGGGCCTAGGGTCATGTGCCTTAGCTTGAGGCCTTAGATGGACCTGCGGGCTGGGCTGACCTCTTACATCCTTGTTTATTGATTGCAGCCCAATTGTTATCAATCTTATTGATAGCCTATCAACATGTTCTTACATATTTACGGATCTCAACCTTAGCTTCAGCTTCTTCCTCTGAAGAGTCATCTCAGACTATAAATCTGTAAATGGCCTGGGGCCTGACATATCTGCTTAGGTGTTGTCTAACCCACTTCACTGACAGCAGAACTGCCCGACATGGGTTCTGGACTACAGTTTCCAGCCCTGTGACAGCAGAATCACCCCACATGGTTTTCTGGACGGCAGTTCTTACTGAAACTGGTTTTTCTCTCATCGAGTCACTGAGTGGGTTTGAACATTCAATCTTTCAGTCGTCAGTCAAGTGCTTGACCACAGCATCATCAGGGTTTCTTGGTAATGGGATTAATGACTTAAATGGAAAACCACCTGGAACTTCCTTCTGCTTCACTGCCTTCCTGAGGCCTCTAGTCCTGGAGCATAAACAGGCCGTGAAGTAGAAATGGACACGCTGACACCCAGCCCTGGCACCTGTGACCAGCCACTCATCAGACGCCTTGGCCCAGCTCACCAACCCCAAACTCTTGTTGTTGTTGCTGGTGCCATTGAGACATTATGAAAACAGTGAAAAACAGATCTAAACCTGGCCCGATCCTGCACTATCTTCCCAATTTGCTCAAGTTCATTGTCACCGTCACTGTGTCAAGAATTTTTTTTGTTTATAAATCTCCAATTGGTTGGTGAAGGAGATTAGGGGAAGCTGGAATTTGTAACCAAAATGCCCTGAACTGAAGGGTTTGAAGGGCTCAGGTGAGCAGCTGGAGACTGGTGTATGTTGTTATATTTTCATCCTCCCAGGAATTGGTGGAATACCTATTGGCATATTCCAACAAACAAATGCAGCCATGGATGTACTCACCAGATTGTGCCAAGAAATCTAGAGGACAGCTACCTACCCAGCCAACTGACTGGAAGAGATTTCTGTTTATTCCCATTCGCAAGAAAGGTGATCCAACAGAATGTGAAAATTACAGACAATATCATTAATATCACAAGCAAGCAAAATATTGCTGAAGATCATTAAAAAAAAATAAATGACTAGACCAGTATATTGACAGAGAACTGCCAGAAATGTGAGTTAAGTTTAGAAGAGGCCGTGACACTAGGGATATCATTGCTGATATCAGAGGGATCTTAGCTCAAAGTGAGAATGCTAGAAGAATGTCTCTTTTTATTTTATGGAGTATTACAAAGGCATTTGACTGTGTAGAGCATAACGAATGATGGCTAACATTGAGAAAAGTGGGAAGCTCAGCATATTGGATTGTGCTCATGAGAAATCTATACCTAAACTGAGAATGTGTTTTCTGAACAGAGCAAGAGAAGACTGTCTGGGTCAAAATCAAGAAATGGGCGTTATCAAGGATGTATCCCTTCTCCAAACCTTCTCAATCTATAGTCTGAACAGATCTTTTGAGCAGCTGGACTTTACGAAGGAGACTGCGACCTCAAGAAGAGAGGAGGACTCATCAACAACCTGTGTTATGCAGATGGCCCAACCTGACTTGCTGAATGTGAGTAGGACTTGGAGCACTTGCTGCAGACGATCAAGGACTGTAGCCTGTAAAATGGATTGTTACTCACCGGCAAGAAAACAAAGATTTTCCCCACCAGGCCAATAGGTAACATCATGACAGATGGTGAAAGGATTGGACTTGTTAAATTATTTCATCTCACTTGGATCCACAATCAGCACTCTTGGGGATTAACAGTCAGGAAATCAAAAGACAAGCCGCATTGGGGAAAATCTGCTGTCAAGCACCTCTCCAGAGTGCTACAGAGAAACAATGCCAGTCTAACGACTAAGGTGCACCTGATCTAAGCCATAGTCTTTTCAGTTGCTGACTGGTCCTCTGAAAGCTAGACCGTGACAAAGGAGGACAGAAGAAGAATCGATGCCTTTGAGTTGTGGTTCTTGAGAAGAGTATCGAACATACCAGGGACTCCTAAGAGAACAAACAGGTCTGTCCTAAAAAAAGTGAAACCAGGGTGCTCCTTGGAGGCAAGGATGGTGAAATTCCATCTCACATACTTTGGACATGTTGTCAGAAGGGGCCAGTCTTTGGGGAAAGATAACATGTTTGGAAAGGTAGACAATTAGCACAAAAGAGGAAGACACTTGACGAGACCCAGGGGCTGTAGCAATGGGGTCAAGTGTGTCAAACATGGCGAGGTTGGCTCAGGATAGTGTGATGTTCAGAGTCATTTTTCCTAGGGTTGCTGTGAGTTTTAGTTGACTCAGTGGCACATAACAACAGCAATGGCATGCATTACAGGCTATGGCTTAACCAGATGCTCCCGGACGTGGCAGATTTGGTTTGGATCCAGAGTGTTCTTTGGGGCAAATCATAAATATGATAGTTCAGCAGCAAGGACAAAAAATAGTATTATCAAGAGCCATCCCCTGTGACATCCAGTAGAATCCCGAGTCTTTCTCTCCACCCTGGAGGCGGGGAAGGGGCTGGTCCGGGAAGCCAGGACGTACCATCGCCTCCCGATACGCTTTGCTCTTCTCATTACGCTTGGTGTCGTAGATGGAGACAGTCAGCGTGTGCGCCTCTTCCTCTTCCTCGCGAAGCTTCAGGATCTCTTGCACCTGGGGAGGGAAGGGGCACTGTCAGAACATGCCTCACCCCGTCAGCTCTCACCTACCCACTCTCTCATGCGAGCCTACCTCCAGCTCTGACTCCCAGACTTGGTGTCTGGACAATTTCTCCTCGTTCTTGAGCTGCATCATGACCTCGTACTGGTAGAGGAGTTTCTTTGTATGTTCCATGGGCTCTACCTGGGACAACAGACAGGATGTCATGGAGAGGGGCTGGTGGTCATGGGCAGACTGGAGCCAGACCACTGGGGTCCAAATCCACCCCTGCTACTTTCTACCTGTGTGAGCGCAAGTTGCTTCATCTTTCTGCATCTCAGTTTCCTCATCTGTAGTAATACAGATAACAGGCTTCTGAGGCTCAGAGGAGTTGAGGGAGGTGCCTGAAGAGCGAGGTTTTACATTATCAAAGTCAGACCTATGGAAGCACTGAGGCTTTTCCTACTAGTCACTGGTCCTCAGGATCTGGGGTCTTCTCTCACCTGGGCTTGTGGTGGTGTTGGTTGGAGAGGGGGGTGTCTCAGTACACTGAGTTCTCCTTGGTGGAATGTAGTTGCTGTTAGGTGCCACTGTTGCTATGACTCATAGTAACCCTACAAACAGCAGATGGAAACCTGTGTCACCCTCATAATTTCTAATGTTCTCTAACCCAGTGCTGTAGTCACTGTGTCAATCCATCTGGCTGAGGGTCTTCCCTTCATAACAACATACACAAAGCATGTCAGTTGAAACTTGGTCATCCTTGCCTCCAAGAAGCACTCGGGCCGTACTTTCTCCAAGACAAATCTGATTGTTCAATTAATTGACTTCCACGGGATATCCAGTGCTTTTCTCCAACACCACATCTCAAAGGCTTCTCAGATTTTCCCCGTCATCCTTAGTCACTCATTGTCCAGATCTCAGATGCGTAGCAAGTGATTGAAAAAGACCATGGACTAAATAAGGTGCATTTTAGTCTTCAAACTGCCATCACTGCTCCTCAGTAATCTGAGAGTTATCTGAGTAATCATGGGAAGGTCCGTAAGAGAAGACTTCCCAGCATAGTATGCCTACTGCTCTCCTGACTGCTGGTACCAAGAGTGTTGGCTGTGGATCCAAAGAAGATGAAATCATTGGCAATCTCAATCTATTATGATGTTGCCTATTGGCTCAGGGTGAGAATGTTTGTTTTCTTGATGTTGAAATGTTGATATAATCTTTGATCTTCTGAGGCAAGTGCTTCAAGTCCTCCTCACTTTCAACAAGGTTGTGTAAGCTGCATAACGTGGGTTGTTAGCAAATCTGATTCTCATGTCACATTCTTTGCTATAGTATATAGTCCAGCTTCTCAAAAGATCTGTTCAGCACACAGAGTGAATAGGTATGGAGGAGAGATACAGCTCTGACATCCGCCTGTCTTAGTTTTAAACCATACAGTGCTCACTTGCTCTGTTTGGATAACAGCTTCTTAGTCTAGGTATAGGTTTTTTTATGAACATAATTAAGTGTTCTAGGATTCCCTTTCTTCTCAATGTTAGTTGTTATGATCCGCACAGTCAAATGCCTTTGCATAGTCAATGAGACACAAATAGACACTCTTCCGGTATTCTCTGCTTTCAGCCAGGATCCATTTGTCCTCGGCAATGGCATCCCTACTGCCATGGCCTCTTCTAAACCCAGCTTAAACTTCTGGCAGTTCTCTCAATGTGCTATTCTAGCCATTTTGGATGACCTTTAATATTTTGCTCGCATGTGACATTAATGATATTTCTCTCTAATTTCCACATTCTGTTGGATCACCTTTCTTGGGCAAGGGAACAAATATGAGTCTCTTCCAGTCAATGAGCCAGGCAGCTCTTCTCCAAAGTGAGGAGAAGATTTTTAAAGGAGCTGCAAAGACAGGTGTCCTGAGATGGCAGATTTTCCCAAGGAGCGAGGTGAATTTGGGGCTGGGAACCAGGGTGTCCCATCCATCCTGGGTTACCCAAGTTGCTGGGATGGAGTACGGTCCCCAGGGCCTCTCTCGGGCCTCCCTCCCCGCCGCCCCTGCAGGCCTACCTCAAAGCTGATGCACATGTCAGGGGTCATGATGATCTTGTTGCCCTTGCTGTCCACCTCTGTGCGCCGCAGGTACTCTCGCTTGGAGGCCGTGATGTAGTCTTCACGGCAGTGGTAGCGCAGCTGGATACGCTCCTCCCCGACCAGGAACACGCGCTCAGCCACGTCTTCATCTGCCAGCTTCGAGGGGTTGCGGGCAAACCGCTCTGTGATTTTCTGAGGCCAGAACACACACAGGACTGGAGGTGGGAGAAGGCGCTCAGGGATGGGGGGGGGGGGTTACCCTCGGGGGGGGGGGTCCCGTGGGGTAGACCTCCAGCCAGACAATGGTCCTCTTGGTCCCGTGGGCCTGAGGGTCAGATCCTGCCAGCCCTGTATGGGGCTGGACTTCTCCAGCTCTTCTCTACAGTCTGCTTGCCTCCCTCCAGAGATGAGGAGCTCACTACTTCTACTTCACTACATTGCCTACTCCATCAAGAAAAGAGCCTTAAGTGCTGGAAAGCGCTGTTTGGTATGCAGCCATTAAATTAATTACCAAACAATTTTTAATGACATGGAGGAAAAGCATACGACTTAATATTAAGTGGGTGATATAGGGACGCATCTCAAGTAGGTAGAAAGGACTCTCAAAACCAACCCTTCCCCAAAACAACAACAATAACAAAAATTACCCTAACAGGGGAGCTCTGGTGGCCTAGTGGCAAGGAGCTGCAACTACAATCCCAGAGGCGCACGGTTCGAATCCACCAGATGCTCTGCCGGGGAAGGAGGGACAATCTCCTCCTGTACCAGTCAGATCTGATTTGATGGTACACGCACACAAAAATAAAATTTAAAAAAAAAAAATAATCCCAGAATAGCCTCTGTCAGACATAACCATATATTAGTGGGTTTGTTAGGGTAATTTTTTAAATTATTATTATTTTTGTGTGAGTGTACCGTCAAATCAGATCTGACTGGTACAGGAGGAGATTGCCCCTCCTTCCCCGGCAGAGCATCTGGTGGATTCGAACTGTGCGCCTCTGGGATTGTAGTTGCAGTTCCTTGCCACTAGGCCACCAGAGCTCCCCTTATTTTATTTTTCTCTCCATCTATTTTCTCCCAAACATTTATGACAAGTGTGCATTATTTTTTTATATATAACAATTAGGAAACACTATCTCCTTGGTCCAACGGTTGAGGGTGTAGCCTGACATCACACTGACCTGGGATCTTCATGAATGTGGTAAAAACACTTGGCCTATAATTAGTGCTCAGGAAATGTCTCAGGCCTTGAGGGCGCCCCAGAACCAAGGCTCCCCCCTTCCCCCCCCCACATCCCATGGGGACTGTAGCCAATCAGAAAGTTCGGCCCCTCTCTAGGACCTTGGTGCTCCTACCACTATAGGCCTGGGGTTGGACTCCACAGTGACCGGCGCCCGGTTACTCAGAGCGACCTTCTTGGCCCTGGGGCCAAAGTTGACATGGCGGTAGGAGAGGAAGTCTGGGCGTCCCTGAAAGTACTCCGTCATCGTGTTGGGAGTCTCTTCCCGCTTCATCAGGCCATCCACACGGGCCATGTCATAAAACTCCATGGAGCGCTCATTCTTGGGAAGCATGGTCTTATACGAGTGCACTGTGGGGAGGGAGAGGGGAGGGAGGGCCCACTGAGCACCAGGACCCTCTTCTGTTCAACTTGAGAGTTGAAACATTCCTCCTTCCTGGGGTTTATTTCCCTTTTTAAAAAAAAAATTTAAAAAAAATAGCCAACAAATAGGGCTAATAACTTTTTCAAATGTCTGTTGGCCTTGTGTTTGCTCTTGATCGTGGTTGTTGACGGTCCCTCCAGCTGGGGCCACCCTCCCTTACTCCTCTCTGGCACGTCCACGCCCTCTGCCTTCTGTACTGCCCCTGTGATTTTACCCTCAGCATTCTCGCCTCCTTTGAGTGAGGTCCCCACCCCACCATGCACCCTCCTGTTGGGTTTCCTCCTGCCTCGTGTCCCCCACAGAATGAGCACAAGGCCCTAGTTATGATTTACCATGAGGAATAAACGTTTAACACTTGTCTTGGGTTTTCAGAGCTCTCCCCTGAGATTTGCTTAGGAGGATAAAGGCCGTTTCTTCTCTTGCCACCCAAGAACCCAAGGTTGCTGGCTCCTCCCACAACATACCAATGTCCACGGGGGTTATTCTAAGGAGTGGGCCCAACCCCTGTCCTGAGCTTCTGACTCACCAGCGATGGGGGGTCTACGCACCTCGCAGAGCCTGGGAATGACCTGGCTTGAAGTAGTCGGTGTTCAGGCCCATGGTCTTGTTCATGTGCTTCAGCTCCAGCATGTCCTCTCGATTCTGGTACCACTCCTTTATCTCCAGAACCTCGGTACCTGGGATGCCCATTGAAGCTCACTGCAGGGAGCCAGCTGCCCCAGCCTCAGTCTGCACCACTGTCCCCACTCACAGAGCAGCTCCCTCCTTCAAGGCTGCTTGGGGGACGTGGCTCCCCCACTCCCCACAGGGAGCACCCCCCACCCCAAGCTGGGTTGCTGTCTCCTTACACTCCAAATCCTTGTAGAGGGTGAGGCGACACACCAGGCCGTTGCTGTTGAGGTACGGGGCCCACTTCTCCAGCTTCGCCCTCTTGTATTGAATTACCTTCTTCCCACCCGGGCAGCGGGTTTCGAATGCTGTAGACACAAAGCAGGGGCGGAGAGCTCTCCAAGCCAGGCCGGGACCTCAGGCCCCCGAGAAAAGGCAGCTTCACATATGGACCTCAGTAGTGACATAGCCGTTCCCCAACTGCTAGATTTCTAGATTGCTTTGATTTTTTTTTTGCTGCAAATCCCATGATGAACTTTGCACTTGCTCATCACTCTCCCAGGGGGAGGTGTCTCAAGAGCGGCACCACCCATCACTGTCTGCCCCCCAGACTTCACTGTCAGGTCTCAAGACCATGCAGGGTGTGCTCAGGTCCTGCAGGAACGGAGCTTCAGGCTGGCCCAAAGACCTGCTCCCCAGACACATCACTGTCTCTCCTGGCTAGGCCTTTGACTGTGCAGGCCTCTCTGTTCCCTCCAGTCCTCTCTTCAGAGCTAACGTCTTCTGACCCTTCCACATTTAGCCCAGGGGGCCTGCCTCTGAAAGCCCCTCTTCCCACCACCCAGCTGTCACCTCTAAGCAGGGCTGAGTGTAGCCCCTCTGGGTTTCTGGGATATTGTCTCAAGATATGGGGCATGAGTGGACCCATCTTCCAGTTTCTTTGCTTTCCTTTCGTGGGTCCTGACACCTTCTACACCATCTGAGTCCAGTTCACCACTTCCCTCAGGAAGAAAAGCGGGGGTAAGGGGGTGTGTGTCTGTGAGGGGTGTGTGGTAGCTTTCCACAAGGCAAACTGAGGCCCCTCTGAGATCCAGCCTGGTGACAGGAGCTCCCACTGCAGACTGTGACCCAGCATGCTTCACGAAGGGGACAGGTCAAAACAGAGGGTCAGGGCAGCCTGGCCTAGCTGTGACCCTGGAACTGGGCTTAGCCAAGGCGCAACGAAGAGCAAGTACCTTCTGGAGTGATCTCAATCTGTTCCACCCACGAGGGCGGCATGTCAAAGCTCTTCTCCTCATCCTCCTTGCCCTGTTGAGAGAGGTGAGGGGTGGGGAGGGTCCTAATCAGGGCTGGTCTGCACCGTCTCATTCCCCTGAGCTAAGCCAAAACAGATCATGAGCTTCCTCGGGGAAACCAAGGACAGAGCAGCTTGCACTCCAACAAGACCTGCCAGAGAGAGGTGGTAAGAAGGCAGAAGTGATCCAGCTCTTGGCTGACTGATCTTCTTAGCACCCATCTGGCTCAGGATGGCAACACCCTGCATGCCAGGCCTTTCTGGAACCAGTCAGCCAGCTAAGGCAACAGTCACCGCAGGGGCTACTTCTTAACTGACTAGTGCGGAGTCAAGGGGACCCCATGCTCTATCCAACACCAGTGAAGCAGTCTCCAGCACGTCCACAACTGATCTGAGCCTAGGTCTTTGACTGCAAAATGGACCTCTTAGAAAGATTAAATAGCACATTTCCTGGTTGCCATAACTTTCCCCTCCTCTTTGAGCATATTTCATTTGCAAAATAAGGCCTGGTCTATATGCACAGAGGAGCTCTGATGGTCTGTTGCTATTGTTGTTGTTATGTGCTGTCCAGTCACTTGAGATTCATAGCGACCCTACGTACAAGAGCCCTAACCCCTGCTCTATCCTGTGCCAACTCACTGTCTCCAACACACCTACTTCCACGACCCCAGTCACTGAATTGATCCATCTCATCGAGTGTCTTCCTCACCTACGCGGTCTCTCCACCCTCCCAAACACAATGTCTCTCTCCAAGGATTGGTCCCTCCTTGCAACATGCCCAAAGTATGTCAGACGAAGTCTCAGAATCCTTGACTCCAGGGAGAATTCTGGCTTCACCCTCTCCAGGACAAATCTGTTTGTTCTCCTAGCAGTCCATGGTATATTCAACACTCTTCTCCAGCACCACAGCTCAAAGACATCAATTCTCTTTCTATCATCCCCAATGTGCTAAAAAAGCAGGGCTATCACCCTGAGGACTAAGGTGCGCCTGATCCTGGCCACAGTCATTCTAATTGCTTCGTGTGCATGTGAAAGCTGGAAAATGCATCAGTCAGACCAATGAAGAATGGATGCCTTTTAATTATGGTGCTGGCGAAGACTGTTGGATATACTACGCATTGCCAGAAGAACAAACAAATCTTTCTTGGGAGAAGTGTAGTCAGAAGCAAGGTGGTGTGGCTTTGTCTTAGACATTGGGCATGCTGTCAGGAGGTGCCAGGCCATGGAGAGGGACGTCATGTTTGGGGGTGCCACATGGGATGGGACGTGAGGACTGGACGGCCATGGGGCTCACTGAGAGGTCACATCCCCCACAACAATGTGCTCTCCACAGGGAGCAGAGTGACCTGTAAAATGAGGGCATGGTCCGGGCGAGGAGGGTTCTTCCACATGCATCACTGGTCTACCAGGGTCACCATGGCCATACCATGGACATACACACGCTGACTTGACATGAGTCAGGGTGTTAAGTGCTCCCACGCTTCCTCCCCACCCCACACAACCACCAACACTCACCAGATTGTCCACATCCTCATCTTCATCATTGGCCCCTTCATCATCCTCATCAGACAGTGCCAGGTTAGGTTTATCAGTCCCCAAGAGCATGTATTCCCATCTCACAGGGTCTCCCAGGTCAAAGACCAGGTCCTGATGCGGAAGAGAATGTGCTGAGTATACCCCACAGTTGGAAGGACCCACCTGTTACAGGGCTCAGGGCAAACAACTGCCCCCAGAGTGGTCTGCGGCAGGGCCCAGAGGGACAAAAGGCCCGCTCCAGGCAGCCACCGAGAACGACCATGACCATTTCTCTAGTTCTCATAGGTAAACTGAAGCCCCGCGGGAACTCACTTCAACTTGTCCTGTCTCCCAGTGAAGCAACCTGTGGTCCCATGAGAGATTTGTTAACGTCAGGCCAGGAAAGGCCTGGATTTGGAGGCCACTCTGTATGAGTCCGAGTGTCCGGGGTCAGTGTTTTGAGCAAAGGAGGCCAAGGACAGAGAATCGCTACAGAGATTTTTACAGGAGGGGGCATCTGACCAGTTCTAATCATTATCAATTTGCTGGGTTTCCCCCCTGTTGTTTCCTCTTTAAAAAACATAGACTCTATAGGGAGCTCTCGTGGCCAAGTGGCAAGAAGCTGCACTGCAATCCTAGAGGTACGTGGTTTGAATCCACCAGATGCTGTGCTGGAGAAGGAGGGGCAATCTCCTCCTGTACCATTCAGATCCAATTTGACTGTACACACACAAAAATAATAAAACATTTAAAAAAACACAACCAACAAACCCCATAGACTCTATGTGGTTCCCTGGATGATGCAAATGCTGGTGATGAAGGAGCAGTTCTACTGTGTGAACACAAGAGGTCAGCAGAGTCAGAACCACTGGACGTCATAAGACAGCATGGTGACGGGCTGGGCAGGCACAAGACAGGAGCAGGAATTTCTCCTCTAAACTGGGGTCCTTTACCTTCTTCTCACCCCAGCTCACTCCAAAATGGCTCACTTGACAGATAGTTTCTTGCAGGTAAGGGGTTCCCTACATTCCAATCCACCTCCCTAGCAACTTGGACCCCACCCCCCCAGAATCAGCAATCCAGATTAAAGATCAAAGAAAAACTACCCACAAAGGGTAAGTTCACAAGACCCTGTCCTGAACACTCAAGTCATTGCTGTGAGGTTGGAACTAACTCCTGGTTGACCCTCTGGAGGGTTTTCAGAGGCTGTAAATGACACAGGAGAAGACTGTCTCTCTTCCACACAGCAGCTGGTGGGTTCGAACCACCTGCCTTTGGGTTGGCAGTGCAATTCCTTCCTCACTAGGCCACCAGAGCCCCCTAAAGTAATCCCTAATCCTAATTCTTATGTTTGAGGGGCAAGGGCCTTACTTACTCTGCTCTAACTGAAGGGAGTGGTGTGGAGGGTGGGAAGGAGGGAGAGGAGTCCAGGTGATGTAAGTGTTGCACTGACTGTTGCTGTTGGGTGTTATCAGGTCAAATATGACTCCTAGCAACTCGACAAACAACGGACCTGAACCCTGTCCATCCTCATCCTCTCTGACACGCTAAGAAGTCAGTAAACAATGGAAACGAAGGAAATACGGTCACATACAAAACACGGCTACATCACGCAGACACAATCCGGAGTCAAAGTACTCAGATAGAAGGGTATACATACTACATGACTCAGTTTACCTAAAACCTGCATACAGGCAGACTGAGGTCAGAAGTCTGGGCATATGGACTTTGGGGAGGATGGAATGAGAAGTGACCAGGAAGGGACAGTAAGGGCTTTCTGGTCCTGGTTATGTTTGACCTTTACCCACCACCCCACCACCCGACTTGGGGTGACTCTCCACTGAGTTACGAAGGTCGTGGATTTGTTTTGCGAGAGGAAATTGCTTTCTTTCCCCCACAGAACTGTCGCTGGACTAGATAGAACTGCTGACCTTCTGATAATGTACGCTTAAGGCCAGGGTACTCTTCTCACAGCCAACACAGAGTCCAGCCAAGCAAACAACAGGAACACACATCTCTGTTTCCTTCATGCCAATGTTAAAGCTTGTGCACATTTGGGAAGAAGGTAGTGAAACAATTCATACACTCAGCGGCTAATTTCAAGGTCGGAGGTTCAAGCCCACAGAGAAGAAAGGCCTGATGATCTGAAAGATTGGCTGTTGAAAACCCTGTGAAGTCCTCTGAGCGCTCCAGATACCCGTGGGATCAGCATGAGTGAATGAACTCCAGCCAACAAGGTGCCTTGTTAGGAACTGGATACAAGGACGTGTCTGTGGTGCGGATGAGGTTCTGTTTCTTGGTCTGTGCACGTACAACGGAAATTCACTGCTTTGTCTGCAGTACAGGGTTCTAAGCATTCTTTAACGCAAACCACCAATCCACATTTCAAAAGGATGTCTCTCTTTCCCAGCCATCAGGTCAGAACCAACTTGTAGCTAATTCTTCAGTGGGGGAGTTGGAGGCTGTAAATTGCATGGGAGGAGACCGCCTCTCTTTTCCCCACATAGTGTCTGGTGGATTCTAACAGACTGAGAAGCCCTGCCTCCTAGGTAAGCAGCGCAACCCTCTATGGACTATGCCACCAGAGTTCAAAGGAAAATCCTTCAACAGACATGCTGTGCTTGTGGCTGTGTACCGTTGAGTTGGAATCGACCCCTAGCTGAGCCTCCGGCGGGTTTTCAGAGGCAGTTAATCGCAGGAGAGGAGCTTGACCATCCTTCTCCTGCAGAGCAACTGGTGGCTTTGAACCACGTGCCTTTGGGATTACAGCACTGCTTCTTGCCACTAGGCCACCAGAGCTCCCTTTAAACAGATATACACGTCAAAAAAGAGACAGCAACTCCATGAGGTTGGTTACTTAGGGACGAGGACGTGGCTATGGGGACTCAGCTCTGGGGCAGCCCAAAGCTACAGGTCTGACCACCCGCCCCTTGCCCTTGTCTGGCCTGCGTCTGCCAAACCCCCCCTCAGACCACCCCCAGGCCCCCTCCTGGGCACCTTGCAGCCGTTCCAGCAGTCCTGCATGTTGACCCAGTAGTTCTTGTGATTCCAGACGCTCTCGATGCCCAGGAAATGTTCGTCTTTTGTGCTGTAGCTGCGTGCGGTGAACGAGTCGATGAAGAAGCTCTCGGGCACCTCACGCTTCCCCGACAGCACCAGCACCCAGCAGTGCACCCGCAGCCCATGCAGGGAGTCGGGCACCGCCTTCTCTGCCTTCTACACAGGAAAGATGGGTGACCAGGACCCGAGGGATGGGAAGTGGCTGTCGTCCGGGGACACGCAGGGGAACTGAACTCTGACCCAGAGACTACCACTGGCTTGAGGACGCCACCAGATTCTGAGTCTGTTTCCTTATCAATAAAATGGAAGGCTCTGATATGACCCATGGTTTACAAGCCTGACATTCTGGAGTTCTAGGGCATCAGAATGGACCTGCTTTATACATTGTGATTCTAGGTGATATTTCAGACCAAACCTATAAGACTATCCTGGTTGACCTCCCTTTTTGAGGATTATCACTATGCTTTGCATCCTCTTGTATCCCCAGGGCCTGGACTAGGGAGAAAGCTCAGTAACTGGTCTGTAGGAATAAGGAGGGTGAGAGTGTGCACGTGTGGAAGGAAAGCTGGGAGGGGGCGTGGCAGGAGAGATGAACGGATAGAGAGCGGATGACTGAAGCTGAGGGGGGAAGGTGGATGAGAGGAAGGAGATAGAAAGACGGGTGATTAAAGAGATGAGAGGAAGGATGAGAGACAGAAAATGTGAGGCTAGAAGGTGAAAGGAGAGAGGAGGAGATGAATGGATGATGGCAGGAGAGACGGAGGTGGATGAACGGAGGGCTGGGAGGATGAATTGGAGGAGATGTGGAAGGCAGAATGATGGAGGGACAGGTGGGAAGATGGACAGACGGGTGGGTGAATAAATGAATGATGGATGGATGGATGGATGGATGGATGGGAAGGTATATTTAGGTTTGTCCCTAAGGGGTGTGCTAGAGCTGCACGGGGTGTTAATGAAGCACATCCCTCCCCTGGCCTGCGTCTGCGTCCCCATTCACAGCAGCCCATCTGATAAGGTGGGCTGGGGACCGAGGACCGTGGACCCACCAAGAGGCGCTCCTCTTCCTCCCTCTGCCTCTGCTCCTCTGCAGCCTTCATCTCGGCCTGCTTTTTGATCTCCTGTTCTTGCTCAAACTTGCTGTTCAGATCCCTCGGTGGTTTGATGGCGTATTTCTTAGGCGGGACCTTCTCCACCTCCTGGACCACCTGTCCCCCAAGTTAGAGAAAGGTCAGTGGCCCTGAGACACCACCCATCCCCTCAGCCTCTGGAAGCTGAGGCCCACTTTGCAGCCCCTCCAGCCGGGAGATCACAGTTCCTGGACTGTGCAGGCTCTCTGACCGTACACGCAGGCTCTGTGTGTACAGGCAGACGCAGCCACGAGACCTTGGGTAGGTCATCTCAGGTCTCCCACCTTTAGGCTCCTCTATAAATTGGGAGTGGGAATTAAAAGAATTCTTGAAACCAGCATGTTTTAAAAAGCAAAGCAGTGAAAAGCATGTGTAAGATGCTTCCCAGCAGGTGAGCTCAAGAGAGGTGACTTTCTCTTCCTTCTCCATAACTAGTGGGAAGTGGGGGAACTACTGGGTGGGGGGTGTCAGGATGCAGGAATTTAATTTTTTTTTTCCAAAAGGGCTGAGTAGTGCCCACAGGTCTCAAACCACCTTACGGCAGGTTATGTCAGCATGACACGGTGTGAAGAAACCGCTGAGCTAAAGGCAGCCCTGTAGGATTTTTTTAAAAATGTTGCCTTAAAGTAGGAGTTTGACGAGTATGAAAAGTGATAAAATCATCTCTCTGTGTGTGCTTCTATAAAGGAGTGCTTGCAAATATGGCAAGAAAAAAGTGCCTATAAAATGAAAACTCACTGTCATCAGGCAATGCGATTGGCACAGGATAGAGCAGGGTTTAGGGCTGCTGTACATAGGGTC